GTCCATAGTTCGCTTCAAACATTCCCAACTCCCTTCTGTCCAATAGACCACGGACAGTAAAATATGTTAGGCCATTGTCACATTAACGAAAATTAACACCACTTCCTTCTGGGGTAATACCGTCAGATGTACGCCTCTTTGACCGTAGTGGCCGAAGGTGAAACTTACAATGTATTTATCGTACTGCCATGTTAAATGTCAGAATATCATTTTTCCTTTTTGAAGATCGATAAGCTGGCTACCGACTATATGAGGTGTAAACATAATAGCATCTGTCTTTCGACTGGATTTTTAAAATCAGTGAAACATATTCTGACAATCTTCAAACTGCTGTAAAAATGGTTAATGATGTAAAATAGTTAAATAGAGCAGTGAAAGTCGGTAAAATAAATGTGTACATAGTGAACTCAAAAACAGCTAATCGAACGGTTTTCGAACTCCGGGTCATATTATGACGTCATACGTTTGTTAGCGATGCAGCCTCTCGGCGGAGAGTTTGGCGGCTACCGTGGCAGCGGAAATATTTTTCGGAAACTTATTAAAACGTCATTTACCACTGAAATTAAAGCATTTTACACGAAGGTAAGATAATGCCGTGTGAAACTGTGTCCTGATGTTCTAAGCGCTTGAAATGGATGTTTATGAAACGAAATATTTATATACTTTCATAATGACGCTTAAAGGGGAAGTGTACACGATAAAATCACGTTTATTCTTATGTGAAACACAGTGAGATATTTTAAATATTTAATATCAATGTTTGAAATTATACACTCATTTTTCTTACAGTGAAAGTATAACCCTCAAAATAAGTGCTGAAATGTTACGCCATTATGTGGCCCTTGTTTGTTGAGCTAAACAGACCAGAGTTACCGCCCTTTGATTATGACGTAATTGGTGCCACTTGAATTTAGACTGGTCTCCTGTCCAGTCCCAAATCAAAAGATAATAAATTAGACATAATCACGTGAGAAACGTTTGTGAAAATACGAAAGAAGCATAAGAGCTGAAAATGTTAGCAGCAGGACAGATTGATCGTGTGTATTTTCATTCATAGCCTCACGTGAATGCAAATACCAAATATGTGTAACAATGTTGACGTACGTATGACATCACTATCGGGAAGGGACATTCTCAAAATGGCGTGTTCACTGGTCGTGTACGCCGGATATTTCGACGGAATTTGTATTTGGATATGGTATCGATAGGTGGGAAGAGTGGAAGAGGTGGGGCATATATTATACGATTTATGTAGGAATTAGCTAACACATGCCGACACATTCACCGATGGCAAGCTAGATGTAGTGCATAAACGTTTTAGTTTTTGTGAAAAACGATACTGTTGAAAGACGAACGACTCAGGTTGAATGTTATACAATTTGGTTGCACAATGTATACGTCTTTTTCAAACTGCAACGTCATCACAATGTAGAACTGACCACATAGTCAGCTGACGGCCAATCAACAGCTGGATTAAAATAGTAGCCTGCGCATCGAGACACAATAACCACACCTATTCCTGCACCACGTGAAATGGGTGTAACAACGTCATTCGTTTATCGGTCTGGTACCAATGACGTCATTTCCAAGGCACATAAGCCATGGTGTGTTTATTGTGGACATAGAACTCTTGGTAAATGTGGAAAATTTGAATCGATATAACGCAAAAGAATAAATTAGTTACTTCTGATATCTTTACTGTTTTGGCTATAAAACTACTTGACAAACACTTTTTATGATGAAAAAGTACAAGACAAAAAAGGTTAATTTTCGTGTATACTTGCCCTTTAAGCTGTAGGGAATGAATCTATTTTGTATGATGAAATTTATGTAAATTAGAAATTTGTTCAAATAAAAGGACCGATAGGGTTTGAAAGTGATTACTTGTACATGGTGTAATGGTAATGGAAACATCTGTCAGTGATACAACGTATCTCTAGACATGTGGAATATACAAAGTAGACATAAACATACTTTAGTATTTGGTATTGTAAGCGTTTATGAATATTGTAAACTGATATCAAACCTTAGCGCCCAGTTCAGTACACAAGTGATTCGCCATGACATTGAGAAACCTTCATAGATGAGTTTGGTTTTTTTGGGAACTGAGGCCTTTTAATGAGCATATTCTTCACTTCCAAGTTTACTGTCTTGTTCTCTAAATTATTTTGATCCCTTTCTTGTTTTCCTTAACTACGAGACTTTGTCTCCCTGGCGTCATGCAAAACGTACAACGCTGTAACTACCAACACTAAGGCTCGACAATAGCTACCATACAGTGATGTCCGTTGTACGTTTTACAGTAGCGCACACAGTATTCCATTAATGTCAATACTTTGATTTAGTTGATATTTATAATACAGCTTCCAAGATAATGGAAGGGTATGACTATTTATGTATGAAGATGTGAACATTTTAAAACGTGTCAAAATGAGGCAACATACAAATATCACCAATGAATGTTTGAAAAGGTACACAAAAATGAACACTATTCGTGTCGTGTCTTATCCCTTTATTGTTTGTGGAATACACACTGCTTGTTTTGCAGGAACTGCTTTGACACGCCAGAAATACTATACAAAGTAGATGCAAACCGTCCTCACGTTTTGAGGAAGAAAACACGTTCAAGAATAAAGGACAAAACGCTGGATGTCAGTTGGAAAATAAAACCATGAAGCACCAAAGAAAGGACATTGATCGCGGATATGCATGGGTAGTTTGTGTTGCTTGCTTTGCTATTGAGGTGCTCTGTAGCGCTCTAAACTCTTCTGTTGGGGTCATTACACCGGCCATTCTGGAAGAGGTTGATGGCGATTTGGTCAAAGTATCGTGGGTAGGGTCAACATTGCTTGGAACGTTCTCAATGTGCGGTAAGTGTGCTTGCTTCAGGGCTACAACCATACGTCTTAGCTGTCAGTTGAGCAGAGCAGAGGGCTCAGGTCGAGTGTTAAACTACGTCTATGGCAAACTCGTTTTATAAGGGAATTCATATCATTACGGTTTATTCTGTTCTTCACAAATGTGAGGCTTCGCGCCTCATTCTCCACGGAGAGCAAATGTGCATTAGTCCATTACATTATTTTTCAATATACCTCCTAATGCTTTGTTATATAATGATAGCTTCAGAAACATAGGAACTATGTATTGTGCATCTAGATGTACTTTATTGACAGGTAGATTGATTGGGCAATTTTGTGATATATATTGATATTGATTTGAGCAGGCATACGTATCAGTGTGATTCATAAAGAACCGACAGTCTGCAAGACTCGGAAGACTTTGTTGTTCCGTCAGTCTTTGCCACACACAATTTGGGGTCATTGTGTAGTTAATAGGGGCGCAGGTTCGGTATCTCACGTAATACATAAATGACTGTTCATCCGTATTTTGAAACATTTGTCTCCAATGCTTGACGCTCAACCACGAAATAAATCATTACAGGAAAAAACACACTAAATATGCAGCATATTTACTAAAGTTTGTTGTGGAAAGAGTATGATGAAAGAAATACATGGTTCCTTCAAAGAACAAAATGTTTGAAATGAAATTCGGACACACAGCTATTGACATATCTTCCTCGGTGAGATGAAATAAAAAATGTGTCCAATGTTTTCGAAAGCTGAACGTGTCAAGTGTTTCCTTTATATCTTGCTATCATTATGAGAGCCAACGAACTAATGAAGGACTTTTTCAGGACCATTGGCAGGAATTGTTCAAAACAGAATTGGAAACAGATGGACAGGTATATGTGGTGGTATACTGATGTTACTTGGACTGACAGCTGCATCCTTTTGTAGGACTGTCACTGGTTTGATCCTTACGGTCGGAGTCATATCAGGTAAGAATCATCATGCTTGTCGTGTAAACTTGGACTGCGCATGTGGTCAATGTCACACTTTGATTCAAAGTTTCAAAACAAAATGAAAAGTGAAAGAAATTTATTTTACAACAATAATCTTCTGACAACATTATTGAGTTGATATATCTGAAACTCAGTTGTAGGCGGTCAGCACATTTCCGAGGTGACGCAATATGACGTGCCCCTCGAAAATGTACTTACCCATGACGTCACCAAAACAAGATGGCGGAATCCATGCGCTGACCTCACCCTAACCGAATGACATCACAAAAACAAGACGACGTCCATGACTCAATACACGCGCCGGCCATGACGGATTGAAGGTGGCTTCCATCACCTAAAAGCGCGCACCACTTGCACAGTGCCCAACCTGTCTTTTTATGGGGTATTCGCGTTGAGGCGGCTTTTTAGTTTCAGGTTTTCGCGTTAAGGCGACTGGCGGTAGTCTTTGATGTTTGGTGTTGTTTTAGTAACTTTTCTAAAAGTATGCCACGCTGTTCCAATGTCTGACCCACTTTATTAACGGACTTTATTATTAACTGACCCACCGGAAAGTAGGCGAGTGACGAAGAGGTCCGACGCCCGCGGGAGACCATCAGAAGAACATATAAAACTACTTACTGATTTAAGCCTGACGATATCACAAAACGATGATAAACAGCTACGAAAGGATGGCTATCGTGAGGGACTGGACCGAACAACTGGTTCAGAAAGGTATGCAGCTTGCCCGGAGAGGATATTATTATGCTTGTGTTTCGGACAAGGTTGCATGTGCCCGATGTGGTTTAAGATTGTGGATATGGTACGCCAATGACTATATTGACTTTGAACACAACAGGGATAGCCCATCGTGTGTATTCCTGAAAATTACGTTTCCCTCAAGATTCGACACTGATATTAGGATGCATGCTGTCGCCTGACAAACTATGTATATCTACTTGTTGCTGTATTGCTTAAATGTGTACAGCAAATGTATCGGTGTTCAATGGTGTCCAGTATTGTGAATAAAAGGTATGAAAATGTATTTCACAATGCCTCTGTTGTGCTTCCTTTTGTCCTCGTGCTGTCTTGTATTGAAGAGAGCTTTACATGGACTGCTCGACACGATGTCTTTGATACTTTGGTAGGATATCGCCATCTTATCGCCTCATATTGTAGAGAGCTTTACACACACGGGAGGACGTGTGATTTCGAGTGTCTATGTACATTTGCCTTGCGGTCTAGTATTGTAGAGAGCTTTACATAGACAAACGACATTTACAGACCTCTTGTTTTGGTGACGCCATGGGCCAGTACATTTTCGAGGGGCACGTCATATTGCGTCACATCGGAAATGTGTTGGCCTCCTTCTACTAACCCTCCGTTGAGTATATGTAGTTATACATGTTAAATTTGTATCCACTGCTGCAGGAAACATATTTGATTCATAATCGAGCACCATGTGTCCGTGAATGAATTGATGAATAGTAAAACGTTTCCAACACTGTAGTCTAACCTACAAATATACACCGCAGTAACTCAAACATTGTCCAGATACGGTTCCACCAGATTTCATGGTGCTTATTTATGTCAAGTATAAGTAATTACCGAAATAACAAAATGCTAAATGCTTTGTTATTACCTATATAGGGTAAAATACAGTGGAAGCTGTCTAAACCAGCACTCGTCGGGACTGAAGAAATAATTCGGTTTAGACATCGGTGGTATCTTTTTGATATTTACACAATGTGCAGTTAGTGAATGATCCTCAAGGCAGACAGTTGATGATATATTTTCAGTGGACGACGGAACTATTTCTCTCTCACTGACTTCATTCACAAATCCAGGGCAATCATTTACATAGTTCACGTGCTACAGTCTCACTGATTCGAGATTTACAAGACAGGAACATATAGTTTCTGATCACCTACATCATTTCACATTATAGTCAACCAAACATTCATTCCCCATGAGTTTCAGTTGACTTCTTTGATTGGCATTCTAGAAGTTGGGTAGATGAAGAATGAGGACTATTTCTATGGATATACAACTTTTGTATTCTATAGGCGACGTTGTGACATAGATGCTAATGTCACTGTCAAGCAAGTGGTACATGGGAAGTAATGTGGGTGATATATATACATGAGATATTTGTACAACAGATGAGGGATGAGGCAAAACTGAGTTGTTTATACAATAGAAGAAGTTGATAACAGAAGATTAAGTAGGTTGATAGGAAGCCAGTAAAGAACATGTACATGGTTGTATACATAAGAGATTAAGGATGTTGATGGGCAGTCAGGAGGGAATTATGTACATAGGTTGTTTACATAAGTGATACAGGGACCGTTGGAAAGGCAGTAGTGAAGTGATGTTTACACAATGGATAATGTACAGTGTTACACAATGGGTAATGCACAATGGTTGAGTAGGGTTACACGAAATTAAATGAGCAAGTGGTGATAGGCCTTGGGGATGAACTATCCTTCATCTCTCTTGATGGATGGGCAAAACGTTTTTATGTGGACAGCTTCAAGTAGTTTTCGGGTTTTGAAATCAGGCTGGTTCCTCTTGATGACTTACGTGGTGTACCAGCTGATGTTGTGCTTTGGGATGGCTTTAAGTTGGTCGGTTAAATCCGCCATAACGACATTAGAATATATGTCGAAACGTCGCCTATATAGGATAAAGAAGTTGTATATCCATAAAAATAGTCCTCATTCTTCATGAGTTTCAGTTGACAAAGTAATTACAACAAGTTAACACTACGTCCACGTTTGTAAACATTGCTGACCATTTGTTGCCTTGAAAGTTAATGACCTATGAAAGTGGACGGAGATTTGACAGTAACTTTTAAAGCTTGGGACTGGAACCATTTGTTCGTAACACATTTTCCGTAATTACTCGTACCTCGTTGGTTATTCTGTAATTTTACACGTAATAACTCATTGATGTATGCTTTCACAACCGAACGTGAACGTGTGTATTTATATCCACAGGTTTAGGTTGTGGTCTGGCTGCTAACGTCAGTGGCGTGGCCCCCAGCAACTACTTCAATAAGAGACTCCCAGTAGCATACGGTATCTGCATGTCTGGAGGTGCAGTAGGACTGCTGGTAATCGGACCATTAACAGTTCAGCTGTTGGAGATGTACAATTTATCAGGCGCGTTGCTTATTTTGGGTGGCATTACATTCAATGTGTGCTTAGCTGGAGCTCTAATTCGACCACCGTCTACACTGATGCAAGAGGAGTCACTGTCAATAGATCTTGCCCACCAAGACGACACAGGGGAGATTTGTGATGCACAGGGAGACCCTACAATGACGATGCAATCGCAACATAATGTTCTAACTGTGGAAAATACGACCATCAAGTTTGATCAGCGTGACGAGAACCATTGTTCTCCAGCTAATTTGCCTCGGATTGTTAAAGAAAACAGTCCTGGGAAAGGTAATGAAACGGCAGAATCTCTGCTTGAACACAGCTGGCATGTAACAACTGAAAGCTCACGGGGTAGGATAATACCTCAATGTGTAACCTTGTTCTGCACAAATGGATTTTTCCTGTATCTGCTCAGTATCATTTTCTGGTCTCTTGGGGATGCAGCTTGCATGGTTCATTTACCAAATTTTGCTGAATTGAAAGGCAGTACACCTGCACAGTCTGCCAGTTTGTTCACTGTCATGGGTGTACCGGCGCTTTGTTCCGGACTGCTTGCTGGTTTTGCATCTTCTGATCCAGCTATTGGAAACATTATCCTTCACGTCGGACTACAAGGAATGACAGGAGTATCCCTTCTGCTACTCCCCGTGCTGTCACATACGTACAGTCTCCAAATGATTTTCAGTGTCCTGTATGGTACATACAGCCAGGGACCTTTTACATTGGTTAGTCCTATATGCATTGAGCTGATAGGCCGATCCAAATTGGCCTTTGGTTATGGTATATGTTTCTTTTGCTTCGGACTCGGCAACATGGTTGGACCACCCATTGCAAGTAGGTTAACATTGAACGTATATTTTGCCGGTGAATGTGTGAGTGGCTGATGCGGTAACGCGTTATGTAATGTCATAATAGACGGCTTGTAACTCCCTACCTGACTGGTGCATGGAGGTATGAACCAATCATGAAACATGCATTGTTATAGAACCTCAAATATGCATTTTGGTATATACTACTTAAGATTTTAGTCTTGTTCATTACCTTAAACTATTTTATCATCAAACTGAGACATATGCCACATGAAGAACCACCACATTGTGTTTCAGGTCTTATTTATGAAAGTACTGGAGTGTATGTCCTTACGTTTCTTTTCTCAGGTAAGTAATTGTGATCACCATTATTGAAAAATCGTTAATAGTGTACAGAAATAAGTAAAATGAGTTTTATACAACCTGCCAGATGAAAATATGTTGAAAGAGAAAAGTCCACTAAATGATAGAGAGTAAGAGTGCACTGTGAATTTAGTGAACAGACATAAACATTCGTGTCCCATTTGTTGGACTAAACAGTATGACAAACCATTAATGAAGCATACAACATTATGGATGACATCTTCTTGTTTACTGAATAGAATGTCGTTTCGATTTAGATTTCTACACCGTTATCACTTTTTAGCTAGATAACAGTGTAAGAATCTACATCAAGTGGTCGCTCTGTGCAATAAACAAGATGTCATCCATAAAGTTGTATGCTTCATTGTTTACTCCCCATGTTCAGGAATGCTGAACCTACAGGGAAACAGTTTCAAACAATAGACAAACCATTGATTGTCAGGTGGTAACCTTTAATTTCTGATAGAGACAAGCAATTAATTTAAGAGGAAAACAACAATCGACAATGTTTGAGAAACAACACGATTTCTTTGCAAAACATTGGATACTATTGTCTGTAAATATACATTTAATGTGCCTGCTTTCTAGTTGTTTCAGTACAAAATATTTTGCCAACATCAGTGCCTCATTGCTGTCTGCATATTTCATATTAAGGGAGTATAGTTTTACTCTGTTTTAGCAATATATCAGCAATATCACGGCGGAGGACACCGGACATGGGTACATAACTTTTAACTCTGTGTATATTTGGTCATTGTTTCGTTGCAGGTGCCTGCTTCATCATTAGTGCCTTCCTCGCCTTGTGTATTCCGTTGACCAAGAAGCTAAGATAAATCGATATTTAAATCTTAACTTTGTATAAATAAAAATAGACTAAGTATTTTTTATCCCCCGCAACGAAGTTGGAGGGGGATATTGGAGTGACCTCCGTCCGTCCGAGATAATGGGGACATATCGTCTCAAAAACTGTTATAGACAGGGAAACAAAATTTGGTATGTGCTTTCAGGACATGATGGAGATCGAAAACCGAAACCGTGTTACAATTTTGTTACAGAGTTATTGCCCTTGTCGTGCGTTTGTTGACTTAGTGCATTGTATCCCCAATGGGAACAGATTTTCTCAGAAAGCGTTATAGATTGGGAAACCTAATTTGGTATGTATTTTCAGGACATGAATGTCTTGGTGGAGTTAACAAAGGTACCCAATAGGAACAGAACACTGTGGTAGGGATATTGATGACTATGTCTTCTTGTTGTAACTGTTTTGATGATCAAACGATTGTTATCAAATTACAATGCATGATTAAACACGTTTTACACAACTACTGTAAATGTTGGTGCCATGAACGTAGCGACACTGACATGACACTGACAAATGCTGAGCGTCGTTTTCACAACTTGTCAACAACGAACAGCTTCATCGATGTACCATGAGCCGCAAAATATGAGCAAGGTTCACCGTTTTTCCCAGAGTCAGTTAAAAAATAATAATAATGATTATTCAAGTCGAAAATACTAGATTTGTAGCAAACGCTGAAATACATCTGATCTATGAACAAAGATTACATTAACCAAATCTGAAAATAAACTTTAATGATAAGATTGTAAAGTTATTGGCTGAACAAATTTGATGTGGGACTGTTTAAAGAGATCTTATCAATGATAATTCTCGAGACATGAAAAACCTTGCACTGCACCTCTCCTATAGGTATGGAGGGTGATCCCAAATTTGAAAACAAGCTATTCAAATGTGCTTAAATTATTGTTTTTTTTCATTTTGAGTTTTAAAGAAACTCTTTCAAAAATAGAAAATCACAACCACCTTTGCACTGCATATCTCCCCCAGACAAAATGCTTCCAAATTTTAAAACATTTTGACCACATATTTTTCAAGTTATTGATTGAGCGAATCTTTCTAAATTCATACATTTAAAGTGCAAGAATCCAAAAAATACAACTTCATAATAAACATTTGCCCTGCATTTTATCTTTTAGACAAGGAGGTTAGTCCCTTAAATGACGTGGTCTCTTTAATTCTAACCCTGTCGTGCAATGTCCACAGATACCCATCACATGTGGTAAATTCCCTGTTTTACACACGCAGCGTGACACACTAATTCAGCTTGAACTACACTTTCCTTTCTTGGATCTGTTACAATAGTCGCTATCCTCTTGACAATCTCCATGGCTCAAAGTATGGTTATCTACCCTCAGTTGTTGGCGATCTATAGCCCATTTTTATATTGTGTTGTCCCCTTTAGTTAAAATGTTTTAGATTCAATTACTAGTTTTACATATATATCTGTGATACTCTAGTTGCTTTACTGCCCTTTGTCGGCAGGTTTTATAATCTATATATATATTCTATTTCAATGTCAAGTGTTCTCGTCACGATATGGCTGAAATATTGCCGATGTGACGTTAAATACTAACTCACTCACTCTTGACAATCTGACATCGTTTGATGAAAACATTCAGCTCCAATGACTCATGAAGATTAAACAGTGTCATACCTGGTTGATATACTTTGCACATTGTATAGAAAAGCACAAACAATTTGCACAAACGGGCACTTTTACCCATTTTACGACTGTGCATTAGGCGTGTGTATCCCAGTTGTCCAGGTTTTGATATCTATCTTTGAGGAGTCACTCATGATCAGTTGGATGTCATGTCAGATATAAGAGACTTTAAGTCGCTATACGAATACCATTTTAAAATCAAACAACTTATTTTCCAATATAGTTTTGGGCTTTTCTAGATTTTCAAAAAAGAAGAAGAAAAGAACCAAGTTCAATGACTCGCCTTCTCGTCTCTTGATTAAAGCTAACGGGATCGGGTGGACAAGCTTGCTGACTTGGTTGACACATGTCATCGGTTGCCATTTGCGCAGATTGATGCTCATGATGTTGATCACTGGATTGTCTGGTCCAGATTCAAGTATTTACAAACCCCCGCCATATAGCTGGAATATTGCTGAGTGCGGCGTAAAACTTAACTCACTCACTCACTTGATTGAGAGATAGAGAAATGAGTAAATTCTTGTCCATTTTACATCTGTAATTACACTTTTTCAGTAATGTCAAATATGTCATGTTTAACCGGGATGATGGGGTACCCTAATTGTTAAAGCGTCGGTCCTTCACGCTTAAGACCCGGGTTCGATTCACCATATGGGTACAACATAGCCAACGACAATCACCAACATTCTTTCTATTAATCCTAAATAGGTTGTCTTGCTTGTGACTATTTCAATATGTTTCAACATGAACATGCAAGGCACAGAATAAGCAAACCATACTTTGAACTTTAAGGTTCTTGGAAACTTCACACCATATTTAATTCAGGGACTTTATGCTGTCAGTTGTTGTAAATTTTTGTTGTGACACATTAAGCAAAATGTTACTCTTCAGAGACAGAGCGCATTAGTCACAAATGTGTATGTATGCTTCTGAAAACGATAGGGTTTTCAGGTTGGGCTGTTGATCAAATTACGACTGTTTCCAACGATTTGAAAACGTATAAGAAAAATCTTGCAGAGGTATTCGTTTTTGTATGGTTTCGTATGGTTCAAGTCATATAATACCCAGTCGTCAACTATGACACTATAATATTTGAACGATCGTTATGAGATTTTGCAAAACTTCATTTCAGTTTTTCAGAAAAGACTCTATTTAGAAATGTTTTTGGAGGTGCGAAATCAACTAAAGAGTGTGAGTGAGTGAGTTAATATTTAACGTCACATCGGCAATATTCAGCCATAAAATCAACTAAAGAGAAAGTGTACATTTACATTAATAATGACTGCACATGACAAATGGAATTATAGTACCTTCAATAAGTGAAAAGAATAGCAAAAGTATGCACACAGCAAACCTGCCTGAACGATGACAGTATAGCATATATAGTGTGTACATATGATGAGTGTCAATGTCACCATATCGTGACTTAGTGGTGCAGTTTACATGTAATTATTCCATTTTATCCTCACTTGTCGTCTGTCTAACACAGAAAGAGGTAAGCTGGTCCTGTAGATGCCTCAGTTACTTATGTGCAGAACAATTATGGAATCAGCACCGGAAACTAGGTAACCAACAGTGCAAAACATATCTGTGGTGAGTCGGTTTAATATTACTACTTATCCATCTAAGGTCCATGCAGAATGCAAATGTACTGTAAGCTCGCATGGTCCCCAGTATGGTGATCTACCTTCAGTTATTGGCAATATATAACCCATATTTATATTGTGTTGTCTTCTATAATTAAGACATTTTAGATCTACATACAAGTTTTATAATCATATGATATCATATCATTAGAACATTTAACTTGTTTATTGTCACAATATTTGAAATTTTGCCGATTTGACTTAAAACCTTAACTCACTCACACACTAATATCACTCAGCATAAACATGTCACAAGTAAAAGATTCGAACCCTAAAATGACTGAAAAGTGTGAGTTTTTAAAGATTATTATTGTTTGCACGAAAGTCTTGATGAGTGCGATGTACACAGAAAGGCAGGTTTAAATATTTATTCTGCACAAAATAAGAGTAAAGGAAAGTCACCTTCTACCATATTGAAATCAGATTCCTCACAAATATTCATTTTTACAGCTATGCATCTATGTCTGCCAACTTCCATCATAAGTCTATGATTAGTGTATCTAAACTGTCCACACAAAGTTTCCATAACACTTGACCGATGCTCCGTTCGAAAAAGAGTATGAGTTACATTTATGTTTCAAAACACAATTGAATGTCATTAAGCCTTGTCAGACACCATGGTTTTTGGTTATATTGCGGTATTACAGGAGTGACACTTTGACCCTCGTCTGCGTGTGAGAGTACCCCAACGACACTCATAAGAAGTGACAATTTGTATAGGCTGTGAGGTAAAGAATATCTTGTCGCTGCTTGATAGTTGTGCCCTATTTACAAACTAAAAGCGTTTACAGGGAGTTTACAGTTGGAACAATACAGCCCAGGTGATCTACCCACTTTTGAACGCCTGTTATAGTACTTTAAAACCTACTTACAGCTGTTAACCTAACACATCATCGTTTTCCGTGTTTAGTGTATTATTCCGTCTAATCGACATATCATTTGTAGAACGCATACCGCTTTTTGGCTAAACATGACACACGTAGGTAATGACCGCATTCCCTTGCTCATCTTTTGATGAAAGAGACTATTCAAGAAAAAAGAACATAACACTGGAAACCAGTTTGAAAACATAAACTGCTTCCCCATACAGAACAATCCATGAAGCTTTCAAGAAAGAACGTTGATGGTGGATATACCTGGGTGGTTACTGTATAATCTGTAGGATCAACTCTGATGGGAATATTCTAATCTGACAGTACTTTAACCCCCTTTGAGGATGCAGTCACTAACAATCGAAGTTGCTAATTTATACTACCATTTATAAAATATCTCTTATCTACATGTATTTACAAAACATATAGTTCAGAATTTATCTTGTAATTCTATTCCTTTCAAAGAACAATTATTAAATGATAATTAAGATTGTAAAAAAGTTCCTTAAGTGTTTTGACATTGAAATATGTATCCCTTGTGATGAGAAAGTCAATACGGTCAAGCAGGTCATGCGGAGGATCCTCACTTTTAACAGGTATTCATGAGTGTATCTTGTATTACAATGCGACATCGTCGCATAATGAACCTCTTCAAATCTGGACTGACAACCCATGTAGGTGTAATCGATAGTTGGTTTTATTTGATGTAATTTATTGATACCTATTGAATTTGAATAACTTCTTTTGCATTAGATCGCGGATATATGATCGAATGACAGCTTTGTAATCAGAGTATTGAATAAGAAGTGGTGTCACAGATTTGTTGAGTGCCTCTTCAGCAGCAAAATCGGCCATTGTGTTACCAGAAATTCAAACACTGCTTAGTAACCAACAGAGGACGATGCCGTATTGACCAGTAGCAAGATCATTATATAATTCAATTATTTTTATTATAAGTGTTTGATGTAGATGTTTACAAGAAATATGTTTTTAGCGTGACGACTATTTGTTTAGCCAGAATCTAAAAATATGATATTGTTTACATTGAGGTTGTCTATATACATATTCAAGAGCTGTTAGTATGGCGTTTGCTTCTGCTGTGAATATTGACCTGACAATCTGACAATCTGGAGGATATTGTTATGGATCCAATGAAAGTGGCACAAGCCACTGCGCTACCATCCTTGGATCCATCTGTAAATAAGGATTTATGATGATAAAACTGAACTCATAGTTTTCCACCCTTAGCGTCTCCAACCCAGTATCTCTCTTCCTCAATTCAGCA